GGGGGGGGGGGGGGGGAAGAAACAGAAAGCGTTCAAAAAGATATCTTCATGACAGAACAACAATTGATTCTTTCTAAAAACTAGATTATTTCAAAAACCTTCAAACACTCCCGACCTGATGGGGGATTGATTTCTCTTTTAATGTTTTTATTTATTTTTACACATTTATATTTGTCTTTACTGATCCGTTTTTACTTGCCATTTTATTTACTTATTGTTATTAATAAAAAAAATTGTCACTGTTTTTATTTTTTATATCTGAACTAGGAATCAATGTTTTATTTTTGTATTTATTCTGGCTGCTGCTTCACTCACAAATAGCACAATAATCACTGTTTGTGCTATACTGTACATACATTACATTTAATACCTTTTCAACACATGTATATGTCCACTTTAAATGTACCATGGACGTGAGCTTATTGGTTTTTACGTGTGCTTGTCTCTATACTTAATTTGGTAGACTACTCTTTTTATTTTTGCCTTTTTTATCTGCTCTGGCCCCTTTGCTGTAAATGTCCCTGCTATGGGACTTATACAGGATTTCAGATTCTGTCATTATAATTGAACTGTGCTGTGTGTTATATGAGCTATGTGTTGCCTGGTGGAAATAGTAATCTATACTAAAATATACAAGTTTAACTAGGACAAGGACTTGTGTTTTCTGTATGAATTACTATTCATTCGTAGTGTAATTGTGTTATTAACCATGAGGAATGCTTTGATTTTTAATATTATGTTTGACTTATTGATGGTTGAAAGGATTATTGTTTTTGTTTTACTTCCATACTTGATTGTTAAAAATAACCAGAATCTTTGTTGTGCTTGAGTTTGTATTCCTTTATGTAAGAAAGAACAATGCACATGAATCAACATAGCTATTAAGTAATCCGCATTCTCCGGCAGGTTCATGGCAGTAAAACAAAAAACTTACAAGAGCAAAAATGTGTTAAGTGTGTAAATGTGTTTGCCTGTATGTGTTTGGACCCAAGGCAGAGTAGCCAATGCTAACGCTAGTGCTAATGGGACGCTAATGGTGACCCTAATAAAGAGTGAAGTGGTCTTTTTTTCCTCCAACCTGATGATCTCGATGTATTCTCTGTCCTTGCCCTTGCTGTCCCTCCACTTGCGGTACATGACGGAGGCGTCCACGTTGGCGGGGGAGAAGGTGTTGGGCTCGTTGAGGAGAGAGATGACGCTGAGCAGGATGGTCCTGGAAGAGGGATTAAAATACAGGAGAGCAATTAGGGAGGAGGACAGAGGAAGATGGAGGTAAGACGAGACAAGAGGCATTGAGAAAGCAGGACAAAGAAGTGAGCAGAGACAGAGAGGACATATGGGAGAGNGCATAAAGGGGAAGTTGTCAAGAGTCCTCGGTGCCTGAGTCGTCGTAGCAACAGTCCTCGTTGTCCTCCTCGTCGTCGTCGTCCAGCTCACGACGACGAGGAGCTGGACGACGACGACGAGGAGGACAACGAGGACTGTTGCTACGACGACTCAGGCACCGAGGACTCTTGACAACTTCCCCTTTATGCCCCTCCCCCACCACACACACACACACACACACACACACACACACACACACCCCTACACACCCCTCTCTCGTCATGGACTGAACTTTAATTCCCTCCCTCGTCGTCCTCACTTCTGTCTCGTGCTCTCACAGTATGCGCACTAAAACCTGATGCATCGAAACAAGCTGCAGTTGTTTTTGTTTGTTTCTGACATGTTTTCATTTCGTTTTTTTGAGTAGAGGTTACACATACACAGCAGCACAACGTACAGTAACAGCTTCTCTTTGTCTGCACTGATACCTGTTTAAACGTCCTGCGTCTTTACTCCGAGACCTGCTCCTTTTTGTCCAGCTTTGAACAAAGATGGCCACGTTTCCTCTCAGAGAATTTGGAGAGCTCGCGCCTTTTCTCGACATCAGCGAGCTGGAATGTAACGTCACAGCTCCGATCAGATCCGAGTCAAACGAGCGCGAGGCTAATTTAGAAAGAAAGTGTGCACATGTGTGTGTTTTTGAAAAGCTGAGTCACTTCTGAGCCATGTGTGTGACCTCCTGTTAGCGGGCTGTTTGAAGCCCTGCCTCTTCTTCTTCTTTTTCTTTTGAGCCCCAGGGCTTGTGCTGCTCCAAAAGTGATCCATTAAAAAAAAAGCTGTTCACACTCCCTCGTGCCTTCCCCTCGCTCCCTGACACCACAGATCTGAAAGACTTGTTGGAAAGACAGCAGAGGGGGATATTCGAGCTCACAAGGCCTCAGGTGGGGATACTGTGACTCTCAATGGGATTTATTAATAGCAGCATCCGTCTTGATTTGTCCGAGGCGTGAGAGAAAGATGTAACATCCAACAGCCGAGCTACAAAGACGGGAATGTAGATCAGAAACGTCCTGCCACGCAGCCTTCATCACACGAGCACGAGCTACTACTGGCCTGGAAGCATTCAGAAACATCTAGCTGCTGAAATCCAATGTACTGTATTTTTTAAAAACACCCTATGCAGTCAGTGCTACTTAACATGCAGTGCTTTAAACGTGGCAGGAAAGCTGATGGGGAGTGTTCCAACCGGTGGGGCTTCGGACTGTCTCGGTTCAGAAGTGGACGTTTGATTTATCCATCTTCACGTCTGTTATTCTAACTCTCCAGAGCACTGACCTTCATCAGAGCTCGCCCCCTAGTGGTGGCTCTGAGGCTCTTGTTCCAACCCCCCCCCCTCCCCATTCCTCTGAAACGCTCCACTGGGCTACAGCCATCTTGACTCACCTGAGTGAATGAACCCTGTGACCTCAGAGGAGATCAGGTAGCAGTGTGAGTGATACAGACTGATGGGGAGGGGGGGGCGGTGTGCGAGTGTTTCCAGTCCACACTGTCAGAGGCCTCTCCTAACGGGACACTCAGACACGCGTTAACACCCAGCAGTATTTTTAACACTTACATTCTCGCTGTTTCCGTTAGATTATTGGCCGACTGCTTATACGGTGTGCTGAGGAGAAATGGGGGAAGGGTTGAGCATGAGTTTGAGAACGGTTCTTCAGTAGATGTTTGTGACACCTTTTTGAGGTTTTAGATCAGGGTGGGGGTCGTGTCCAGGGACAGAAACTCCATTTTATCTAAAGCTGTTGCATTGTGAATGGGCTGAGGGGTGTCTTTTTTTCTTTTTGTTATTTTGAAGGGGGGGGGTTTGTTTGCTTCTTTTACTGTTTTGATGTAATCTTTTTTTTTTCAAATTGTTTACTTTCTCACATGTATTAAGTGCTACGGAAATTGACCTGATGAAAAAAAAAAACAGGATTGTTCATGAAAAAATTAGTTCTACTTAAATATAGCAGCATTAATCGACACCACACAGACGCATACATTAGTTATGAACACTTGTAATAATGATAATGACTGATGTTCATTACACAACCTATGAATGACCCCCCCCCTCCTTTTTTGTGTTCGGTTTCAGGGTGAATGGGATTTCATTATTTTTTTGTCAAACTGCTGTTATTTCATCGTCTTTCCTCCCCACTCGCCCCCCGGTTCTCTGAGCTCTGTGTCGGCATCACTGAGGGATAAAAAAAAAACCCGGCAGATAATTACAGAAAACTACAAGAACCTCAGGAAACGACAAACAAAAAAAACAACAACTAAACAAACAAACATCCTTTCTGGCGCTGAGTGAACCCCGGGGAGTCTCGCTGTTCGGCTTCAAAGGACTGTTTACAATCTACCTTGATATGCACATGTGGATATTTGACGATCACTTGATGTGTTTTTTTTCTTGTTTATATTTTCTTTTTTTCTTATGGTTTGTAAATCTATTTAAAATCTGAAATAAAGATCTTTATTAGATATTGACTGTTTCTTTGTCTTATTGAAGTGCAGAGTAAATGGGTGACTTGAGTTTTAAATATCTAATTTTCATTTCTTGTGTTGAATTTTAAACTGGAATGGTTAAGGGGTTAGCTCCGTTAAAGGTGGGGTAGGTAATTCACTTCAGAAACACTTTTTGTTATATTCCATGGAATGCTCTTAACATCCCGATAGCAATGAATACATGAAATGCTTTGACAATAAATATATAAAAAATGTCATCTGTGGAAGCCGGCTAAAGTAACTGGATGGCCTACCTGCCTGTCAGCCTTCCATCTGTGCACAAACTTATCTCGTGCCCTCATTGGTCATGTGCGCGTTCGTGTGTGTTGGAGGAGGGGCTCTGTAAGGAAGTGGCCGATTTTTTCCGGTTGTGTATTTTCAAATTCTTTGTTTCACTTATTTATTTTATGTATATCAAACCTTTTAGTGGTACAACAGAGAGGAGAGTGCATGTGGTCATCCTTCTGTGGGTGGTGGAGACTTTTAAAGTATTTTCTGATGCTTTCCATGTTTTCATGTTACAAGTGGGAATTTCGGAAATGCACATGTTTCCTTTTCCCTTATCTTCTACAGCTCTCTTTGCACTTAAACATGTAAAGTAGATCTGCAAACGTTGAGTCTATATTAGTAGTAGATATAGTAGCCGTCTATTTTGTACTACTAATATTTACATTATGTGACCGTCTATGTTTCCTGTAGATATTGAATTGCTCTTGTTACTGCACTTTCAGTGTACATATGTACTATCATGCTGCTGTGTTTATGTATTTTTGTAACTCTGGCACAACAAGTAAAGTCTTATCTTATCGGCAGCAAAACTAGAATATCCATTCATCTTTGAAGTTATGTTTTCAGCCTCAAAGATGAAGAAGTCCTGCTTTTCTCTGTTTTATATCTTATACAGTAAATATTGAGTTTTGAGCTGACACATTTAAAAACATCCCCTTCAATCTGGAGAAACTATTTTTTGAATTGTTTTAGACACATATCTCTACTTCTTCCAAGTCACAATTTCTGCTGGGGTTTTATAGAAGTTGCATAATGAAGAATTTTACTTATGCAGCTTTACTGAAAGTATAAAGGAGTTTTTTGATCATTTGCAGGATTTTCTTTTTAGGAGATCAAGATGATTAGGCAGTGCAGCTTTATAAAAAAGGTTTCCTGTCACAGTTTTTTTTTACAGATGCTTTTTAGTGTCAAATCCTGCAAGTAAACTGACATCAGACTACAAAGAGCAAGGCAAGGCAAGGCAATTTTATTTATATAGCACTTTTCAGCACGTGGCGATTCAACGTGCTTTACAGATTAAAAGCAAACAACATTTAAGAACAAATACAGCACAAATACATTATTAAAAAGGCATTTAAAGACAGGCATAATAAGCAAAGGTAATGAAATAAATTAAATAAATAAACACAGCACATTGACTTTCATTTTTCCATAATTATTATATATATGTGTCTCGTCTGGAACTTTGAGGTCGTATATAACTAGAAGAAAGAAAACAGTCCACTTTCGAATTAAAAGTGTCTTACTACCAAAAAGTAAAAGGTCTAGTACCCAGTTTAAAGGTGACCTTCTTATCTTGCACCTCTCGTTATGTCGACTATTATTGGGCGACCGTCTAATTTTCCCGTGACCCTCAAATTTTGACCTTCAGTGTCGCTTCTCTTTTTCTGGTCTCCTATAAAACCGTGCAACTATACTCTTTCTACCTTATATACCGGGCTATAATAAGGATATAAGAACATATTACATTCTGACATCGTCGCGGTGGAGACCTTTCTCTTTCGGTAACCTTATAACACTAGCGTAGAATAACGGCAACTAACGGTCTTTATCGTCTGTAAACTCGAACTTATTTGTTGTCTCTTTGTGGGTGAACATTATGTCGCGATACGCTTTATGCATGCAAAAAGATTTGTCAGTAACTCTCCTGACAAAAACTGAGAATTTACATAACTAAAGACACCAGTAACTCAGAAAGATTGTTGGTGTGGTGCGGTCTTGTCCGACGACGACCGGGGGATTCTCCGTGCTTCGTAAGTGTAATATTATATGTACCGTTATGTATAGTCTATCTCGACATTAAAGTGTAAGTTTTTTCCTTTGTCGACTATTTTTATAACGGTTTTGTTCTCGTCGA